TCGCCGTCACTACAGTGTCAGAGCAGCCGCCGTCTGTTGTGCTGTCTACTCTTGGCCTTCGTCAGAGTTGGCGCCCGGGAATGACCTGCGGGCAAAGCGACGGGCCCCAATATATGACGTTTACATCCGGGTGCGTTGGCCAGTGAGACGTGGCCACACCCCTAAGGGAGAACACGAACCAATCAGAGACCGGAAAGAAATTGCAGGAAGAACCCGGACTCTCTCAGAACGCCGTGAAAGCGCAGCGGTCACGCCCTAATACAGAGAGGTAGCCCAATGAGAAAGGAAAGGAAGCGCTGGTTCCCGCCCCCTAGGGCGGTGTCTGTGCCTCCGGGAACGACAGGAAGTTCAGCGGCCCCTCCCGGCCGCCGCGAGCTTCGCGCCGGAAATTGACGTCAACGCGGAAGTAGGTGTACGCGCTGGTCTTGGGCATCCTCTGCTACAGCAAATACCAGACACTGACCAGTTTATCTAATATCCTTTCTAGCAGATAAAAAGATTTTTATTTTTAAAAAGATTTAGTGGAAATTCAGATATACAGAGAGGAGAGACAGGAAGATCTTGGGTCCGTTGATTTACTTCCCCACCCGGACGCAAACAGAGCTGAAACCATCCGAAGCCAGGAGCCTGGAGCCTCTTCTGGGTCTCCCACGCAGGTGCAGGGTCCCAAGGCTTTGGGCCGTCCTTGACTGCTTTCCCTGACCACAAGCAGGGAACTGGATGGGAAGCGGGGCTGCTGGAACTGGCGCCCATATGGGACTCCAGCGCATCCCTTTATGTTTTGAGCTGCAAATGTTTTTCTTAGTAAGATTTTAAAAACATTTTATTATTATTATTATCATTTTATGATACAGCTCCATAGGCTCCTGGTATTTCCCTTATCCTCTCCCCAATCCCCCCCCTCACTAATTCGTCTATAGCATTACTAAAGTATAGTTCTTCATACACAGTCATATGTCCATCATTGGGGGCATGGACAATGGCAGAGAGTCCAGCATCCTATTGTCGAGATATAGTAAACAGTTTCATTGTAAGTCTATCTTTGGAAGTAGAAATGCATACTACATTGTATCCTCACATCTGAATATGTTAGTCTATGTTTCACAGCTACTGCACATCCCCTTAGATGAAAAGTCATAATACAAAATCAACAATAGAAAGAAAAATAGAAATTTACAATGTCATGAAGTTAAATGACATGTTACTAGATATAACAGTCTCCATTACACAGCTACTATACCTCCACTTAAATGAAAAGCCACAAAGCAAAATCAGTAACAGGAAAAAAAAAGAAATTAACAACACCATGAAGTTAAATAACATGCTACTAAATGACTAACGTGTAGCTGAGGAAATGAAAATCAAGAAGTTTCTTGCAGAAAATGATGCTACTGTATGATCTATGAGTCATTGACAAATTTAATCAGAAGTGTTTTGAAGAGATGAAATAGAAAACATCAAAACCCATGCGATATAGTTTCCGCTGATTTTTGTTGGTGAAATGTGTCTCTCCTAGACAACAAATAGATGGGTTTTGTTTTTTAATTCAGTCTACTAATCTATGACATTTAATTGAGCTTAAGCCATTTACATTCAGGGTTAATCTGTATGGGTGTAACTTTGGTCCTATCATTTTAGGAATGGGTTGTTCATTGGTTTAGTCTTCTGTTGTCATTTTACTGGGATGTTCTTTACATTTGCCTTTGGTTTTGCTGGGTGCTGTTCCTCTTCTCTGTCAAGAGAACATCTTGAAGTATCATTTGTAGGACAGGTTTGGAAGAGGCAAATTCTTTTAACCTTTCTTTAATGTGGAAGAATTTTATTTCATTTTCAAAGACAAAAGAAAGCTTTACTGGATATATTATTCTAGGCCAACAATCTTTTTCTTTTAGGATCTGGAATACGTCACTCCATTCTCTTCTTGCCTGTAGAGTTTCCTGTGAGATCTCCTCTGAGTTTAATTGGCATTCCTTTATATGTCAATTGATTTTCTTCAGGTGCACATTTCACGATCTTTTCCTTATGCTCTATTAAAGAGAGCTTGATGATCATGTGTCTTGGTGAAGATTGCTTTTGATCAGGCCTGTTGGGAGTTCTGTGCCCCTCCTGGATTTTGTTTCCCAATTCTTTCTCTAGATTAGGGAAATTTTCCTGTATTATTTCATTAAATATATTTGTAAAACCAGTTTCTCTTTCTGCACCTTCTGGGACTCTTATATTAGGCCTCTTAATAGTGTCTTTCAATTCTTGAATACTTTTTTTGGCCTGATCCAGCTCTGCTTCCAGCTTTTTGTTTGCTTCCCCCTGATGACAGGAAATATCTTCCAATTCTGAGATTATTTCTTCGGCTTGCTTCAGTCTATTTTGGAGACTCTCCATTGTACTTTTAATTTGCTCTACTGTGTTCTTAATTTCTGATACATCAGCCTTGATTTGCTTTATTGCTGCTATTGCTTGTGTAAAATATTCCTTAAATTTTTTGAACTCTTATATGTCTTCTTATTGTTAATCAGAAGCTTTAAAACGAGTTTTCTGAATTTTGTGTCCCCCATCTTCTCGATGTCTTCCTCAGTTAACTCTGAGGTTGGCAAAGGGTTTTGTTCCTTTGCAGGGGAGTTTTCAGTAATATTCATTGTGCCTTTGTCTCTTCTTTTGCTCTTGGTCATTGTACTTCTGGTTAGCAGAGTCTTCTCCTTGGGGCAGGTTTCTAAGCTGTGTCACCCACAGGTCCACAGTTTGATTTTACTTACTGCAGTTGGTACACAAGTCTTTGCTTGCAGCCAATTGTGCCACTCTCTCCAGCGAGTTCTAGGTCTGGGTTCTTATGTTAGATTTCCACAAACAACTCTGTAGCCCCAACTCCTGGCTCACCAATATCCAGCTCCTGTGCTACTGTGCTAAAGCTGCACCATTGTACAACCTTTCTCCCACTTCCAGTTGGAGCAGGTCCCAGGATTAGGGAGACACCAGGTATCCTATATAGCTAGGTTGTTGGTGGTGGTGATCTTGCCAGAACCTGTTGGACGTTAGGTCTGGGTGCCACATGGACCTGTTTTGACCTGTATGATGCCACAGTCAGTATTATTTTCCTGCGGGACCAGTGCAATCCATGGAACTCAGTGAATTCTTGCGAGCTCAGCACATGCACAGTTCACTGTTGTCCCCTGCAGTCCTAAAGCTTTTGCCACAGTGTACAAAATGGTGCCTGACATACCACTACTAGAGTTCTTGATCTGACGGCCGTCAGGTCTTAGGGCTACCCAGACCTGTCTTGGGTGGAACCTGTAGAATGCCACATTGATGCAGTTCACTGAGTCAGAAATGAGTTCACTCCCAGCTCAGCATATGCTCAGTCCTTTCCCTTGTTTTTGCCTCCTTACGCAAAATGGTCCCCAATTCGACCCTAGAGGGCTGATTGGCTATGAAATTCACCCTGTTCTCATACTGCCTGTCTGGGATCTGCTGCTCTGTCTCTGTCCCTGGTCAAATCAAACAGACCAGCAGGATGGGCAGTTCTTTTTCTGGGTTTACCTCCCAAGCTCCCAGTGAAAATCCCTTCCCACCTAGTTGCTGGTGGAGTTCAGATCGCCTTGCTGGAGTATCACTCGCTGCAACATCACACTGCTGTGTCCGCTGCTTTCCTGCAACTGTCAGTCTCCAGGTACCCCTCTGCTGTTGTTCTGTCCTCTCCTATTTCCTGGAATATGTCATCTCTGCTTCATCCTGATTAAATGTTTCTTCCTCCATTTAAATGTGTCCTTACCCTATTCTGCCATCTTGATTCTCCTCCTGAGCTGCAAACTTTGTTTTTTTTTTTTTATGATTTTATTTTTATTGGAAAGGCGGATATACAGAGAGGAGAGACAGAGAGGAAGATCTTCCATCTGATGATTCACTCCCCAAGTGAGCGCAATGGCCGATGCTATGCCGATCCGAAGCCAAGAGCCTCTTCCGGGTTTCCCACACGGGTGCAGGGTCCCAAAGCCTTGGGCCGTCTTCGACTGCTTTCCCAGGCCACAGGCAGGGAGCTGGATGGGAAGCGGGGCTGCCGGGATTAGAACTGGCGCCCATAGGGATCCCGGGCGTGCAAGGTGAGGACCCCAACCACTGCGCCACCGCGCCGGGCCCCCAAACTTTGTTTTTAAACTTAATGGAAGGCAGAAAGTCAAGGGGAGAGCCTCCATCCATAGTTTCACTTCCCTCAAATATTTGTATCAGTTAGGGCAGACTGAAGACAACAGCAGAGAATTCAACCTGGGGCTTCCAGATGGAGAGCTGCTGCCTCCCAAGGTGTATATTATTGGGAGGCTGGATTTGAGTGGAGTCAGGACTCAAAAACTAGGTACTCCATGTGGCATGTAGCGGTACCAAGTGGCATGGTACCTACTGCACTAACAGCAACCTGCCTCAGGTATAGAGCCCTGGTAATATGCAGGAGAAAGCAGCAGAGGGTGGCCTCAGGCCCCTGTACTTATGTGAGAGACCCAGAAGAAGCTTCAGGTCTTAGGCCCAGCTTCGCAGTTACAGCCATTTCGGGAGTGAACCAGCAGATGGAAGATCTGTCTCTGGCTTTTTATAACCCTTTCAAGTTGAACAGGTCCTTTAAAAAAAATTTATGTAGTTAAATGCATCAATATTTATTTATCTACTTATTTATTTGAAACACAGAGAAACATCTTCCATCCATTGGTTCATCCTCCAAATGTCTACAACAGTCAGGACTGGGCCAGGGCAAAGCCAGGGGCCTGGAATTGACGTGGCACGTCCAAGTACTTAAGTGGTTATTGTCTCTCCAGGCACTCTGATGTGTGATGAGGGAGTTCCCAGTGCACCCTAACTGTTGGCCCAAATGCCTGCCCTGCAGCTAACCAACAGTCCCCTTGCTGCCTCTAGATTTTGCAGCACAAGCATTGCTAGAGTTCTACTTTATAGAGATTGACCTTTATGATGCTCACATAATATTGAAGGGAGAAAACAAAAGACACTAGTAAACAAAGTGCAACAATTTATGTTAGAAGATGTGTCATGGAAACAAATTCAGCAAGGTGAAGATCTCTTACATTCAGAGACTAGTAGGACCCGCTGCGGAGCAGGGGACACTAGGGTGTGTGAACAGGGTAGCCAATGTGTAAAACTGTGACAAGGCAACCAGGAACAGAAGCAAAGTTGGGAAGTGTGTGTGGGGGAGAGGCGGATCAAGTCTCAGAGGAGCTGGGAGGAGGTGCACAACAAAGGTGTCAAACTATCACCCATTGGCTTTTGTCTGGAGCTGGGAAGGTTAAGTGCGAATTTCTCTTTATTTTAGGGGAAAACTTAGCAAGCAGAGACAAGTAAACTTGAACAACAAGGGTTATCTCACATCCTACAGGATATCACAAAGCTTTTGTAGCCAAAGCACAGTGGCAATGACAGGTGGAGAGTGACACTGGACACAAGAGGCCTTGGCACGTGCCATAGCTGCTGCCCACGAGCCCTTCTCGGACACTCTGCTGGTACGGGGCCTCTGCTTAAACCACACACGCACCTGCTCTATTCTCTACAGCAGCTAACCTATCTACTTGTCAACGATCTGTCTCCACGTCCTAGACTGCACCTCCCTGAAGGCAGGAGCTGCGTGTGTCCTGTCTCCCCCGAGCCCTCCGCTGTATCTCGAGCATCCAGAGGAGATGCTCAATTGCTTTTTGATGAGAGTGAAGGTGACAAGAACTTTCAGGGGTGCTCGGAATGCCCTCTTGGCTGAGGGAGGGGGGATGAAAGGGCAGGGCAAGGGCCTTGTGAGCAGCCACAGCACAGCATGTGAGCAGGGCTGCAGGTGTGGCGACAGGCAAAGTGGTGGGGGCCAAGTCCTGGCAATGTGTCCTTCTGGGCAATGTGAAGTGCTGTGATGGGCAGACAAACATGAACGTGGTGACTTCTGTTTGAGACCCTTCATCTGCACAGCTGCTGTAGGGCCCCCTGGGCCTGCGCCCAGCGCAGCCGCCACTGGCATAGGGACAGGCCTTGGCAGAGCTCCTCGGTGAGGGCACCTTGGCCCGGCTGCTCCCACCTGGGGAAAGGCACAGCATCAGCAGACAGGCCCTGCCTACAGCCCATCACTGACCTCGCAGGGCCCCTGGCCTAAATGCTGACTTGCCCAGGCACCAAGTGCCCCGCTGCCCCCTGGCCCCAGCTTACCAGTCCGTCACAGCCACCTGCAGTTCAGGGATTCGCTCCAGTGCCTGTTTCAGCAGATTCTCAAGCCTCCTTAGGGCTCTGCCGGGATTCTCCTTCTGTTCCTTTTCCTGCGCTGCCAGGATCTGCAGCAGTTCTGGAAGGGAGAGATCGCAGGTGGCTGAGTCCTTGGGCTTGCAAGTGCTTGTCAGCCACCTAAGCTGTCTCCTAAACCTGTTCCTCACATCAAAGTAGCATCTCAGGTTGCTGAGTGTTTCCCCACCAGCTTCCTCATTGGGCCAGTCTCTGTTCTGGTGTACTCTCCATCAGACAGCCAGGGTGATCTTCCTGAAGCCTAAACCTGATCCTCTCTCCCCTGCCTGGAACCCTTTGGGGCTCCCCACTTCTCCCTAGGCAGAGTTCAAGGCTGCAGCCTGATGTCTGAGAGTTTGCCCTTTGTGCTCTTGGCTCAGCACACCTGCAAACAACCTGGCCTCGCCTCTGAGCCCAGGGGAAGACACCACCTTCCCTCCTGAAGCACCTGCCTAGCCTCCCTCTGCCAGGCCTCCCTTGTCCGACTGCTCCAGGCCTTCACTCCAGTGGTGCTTCTCTCCCCGGGCTGAGTCCATGTCCACGTGGCCAGAACTGTGACCAGCTCAGAGCAATTGCGGCTGCGCAGTGCAGTCAGACCTCTTGGGTCTCAATCCTAGTTCTACCTGATCCTTGACCTGTGGCCTTGATAGTGACACTGGCCCTTTCCTGTGCTACATGAGCTGCTGGGTGAGATTATGTGAGCTGTAATCTGGCGGGGCAGGGGCAGATGGGAAGACTCTGGCGATGAAACTGACAGGGCTTACTGAGGAGTGGAAGGTGGGGGGTCAGGGGACTGGGAGGAATTCCTGGTGACTTCTGGGATTCTAACTGGGATGCCATACCTACAGGAGGGTGGGACAACTCGCTGACCTATGTTTAGAACACTCAGCACGTGGTAAATGCTATGTGCGTGAGGGTGTTGCGTGTGTTAAGCTCTGGAGGCCAGCAGCATTGGCAGCGGGCCAGAGTGCCACACAGGGGAGGCAGGGCAGGCTTACCCTGGGGGGATGGTCCCGGCGGCAGGTTGGTCTTCACTCGGAGCAGATCCCAGCCCCGAAGATGCTGCTGGTCCTGGAGCAACAGAAGGTCCTGGCAAAGAGAGGCGGCCCTCGGGAGGAGCAGTTCCGGTGCCTGGAGGAGAGGGCATGACACTGGCTTTGAGTAGGAGGGGTGGCGATGGAGGTGGCTCATGCCCCAGGGGAAAGGCACTCACCTGCCCTCTGGGCAGCCCCAGGATACGGCCCAGTGCTACAAGGCTTGAGCTCTTTGGGCAGGCGGGGTGCAGCTGGTAGATAGATGGCAGGAATGTGGGAAGGGGTTCCAACCTGGGGAAAAAGTTCAGGTAGGGTCAGGCACTGAGACCAAAGCCTGGTTTTACAGGCTGTGGGAACTTGCAAACTCAGAGGTGAGCCCAGTGACAAGGATGATAAACTGGAGCTGGCAGCTAGAGGCGAGTTCTGGCCCCTGGGGGACTCAGGGGTGTGTGGAGGGGATCCTGGTCTCACCCTCTGGGGCTGGGCTGCAGCAGGCTGTTCAGGGGAAGGTGGACCAGATGATGGGCTTCTTCCTGCAGACAGCGAAGCAGTTCCTGGCTCTGTGGGGCTACTGCCTCTGCCAAGGGGACCACCTTCTCCTGAATCAGGGCCAGCACCTGTGGGGAGGCAGAGGCAGGAGACGGGCAGGGCAGCCCTGGGCCCCCCAGCCCCACCCCTCCTCTGATTTGGCCCTAACCCCCAACTGACCTCCCCTGGGATCCGGCCCAGGCGGGTCTTGCTGGCCGAGTTTCCCTTGATGAGCAGGCGGATCTGTTCCTGTGTCTCTTCCTGGGAAGCAGGAGGCCACCAAGGCTAAGCGCTCCTCCTCTGCCCCTCCCAGCCTCGGCCATCCCTCTGCACTCTTGGGCCCACCCAGGCAGGCCCAGCCACTCCATCCCAAGGCTCCGTCTCTCACCACCCGCCTACGCCAGTGTAGGATCCGCTGCTGTTTGGCCTGCAGTTCTCTCAGCAGGAGTTGCTGGTGCCTGGCTGCATCCTCCAGCTCCTGGCTCTGGGCACGCAGGGCCTTGAGTTCTGCCTGCAGGCCACACCTCCGAAGCTCCAGCATTAGTGCCTGCCTGGGGGGGCGCGGGGAAAGAGAGCATAGGAGGGAGGAGCGGAAGCGAAGTGAGGGTCAAACTGCGGGAGGGAGACAGCACAGGGCTGTCAGCAAAAGTGGCCAGGGAGGAAGGCAGGGAGTCACAGAGCAGAAAAAGTCCAAAGCCTGGAGACATGTGGGGGGAGGGAAGGCTCGGAGGCCCCTGCTCAGGGAGGCCCTCACCTTTCGCTGGATCCTAGGGTACGGCTCCCCATCTCCTCCACCAGGCTCTGAAGGCGCTGTCTCAGGACCTGATGCTCCTTGAGGAGGGCACCCCGCTGGGAGAGCAGTGCACCCACAGTCTGCCAACCCTCCTGGTGGGGGAACAGTCACAAAATCAGGGCGGGTGTGGTCCACGGGGCTGAGATGATGCAGTGGATCTTGGGATGGGAGGGTGCCTGGGGTTACCTGGAGGAGATGTTCCATGGATGGCAGAGCCTGGCTGGAGTCCATCTGGTCCAGGGCCTGGGACCTGGGACAAGGACAAAGCTGCTGAGGGAGCAGACCTAGGTCCTTGCCTTGGTGCCTGGGGCAGCCACCTTGGCCCCGCCCCCCACTGCCCTGTCAGAGATGATACTCGGTTCTGACACTGTCCCAGCTCACCTGGGACATGCATGCCGTGCCTGCATGAAACACTTTATTCCCTACCTGGGTGGCTCCACATCTTCCAGGCTGTGCCCACTGCACAGGGACTGAATCTCAGACTCCCGCTCTGCAGCCAGGTGCTCCAGAGCAGCCAGCACATGGCCTGGGGGGTGGTTGGTCAGCAGTGTCTGATGGGAGGCAGATGTGAAGTCAGAGCAAGGGCTGGGAGCTGGAACCCTGAGGTAGGACAAGGGAGCTGGGGGAATATAGCCTCGTCTCAGAGTCCCACCCCTTACCTCCACAGAGCTAAGCCACTGCTGGTAGGAAGCTCCAAAGTGGTCATCGGGGATGGTTCTGTGGGGTTGGGAAAATGGGTGGAGAATGTTGTGAAGTCACATCAGCTGTCCCAATTATCCCACTACCCTGTGGGGGAGGGGATGGCATTGTTCCACCCATGGCTGCTAGCGTGGAATTTCCCCCTCCTCAGCAGAGAGCCCTACCCTCCCTGCCTCCTTAGCTGGGTCAGACACCTCCTGGGTGCCCAGGGCCTCTCAGGCTTCCCCCTTCCAGGCCTGCCAAGTCCTAACTACCAGGCCATGTACCCTCCTCCCAGCCTGGGAGAACTGTCAGCTCAGGGCTTGGGACTGCCATAGTCCAGCAGGTGTCTGGGGAATTCAACAACAAGTAATCTCCTCAAAGCTCAGTTTCTTGGGAGGGGCTCTGGGGTTTGGGAGATACTCACTGGACACTGCCTTCCCTGGTCTGGGGAGTCAGGAGGTTCTGCAGGAACTGGGCCCGGAGGTTGCAGACTGTTCGCACATCACGCTAGAGAGAAGAGGATGGAATCTGAAGGGGACCCAGGCACCTGCCTGATCCTGGGCTCCCCAGCCCTTCTTCCATGGCCCAGTGCTCTTACCAGGACCACAGGCTCCACGCCCAGGGACTCTGGTGTCAGGTGTTCAAAGGTCACTTCTGCTTTGGCCTTCCTGCGGGAGGAATACAACTGAGTCAGGAGGAAGAAGCTGAGGATCCCACTCAGGGCAAGTGAGACCAGTTGAGGGACCACTGAGCCTGGCTGCCAGGGCCCACCTCACTGTTGTCTCCTACGTTAGCCTCCCCCGGTCTCTGCTCTTGTAACCCCTAGTCTGTTCTCAACCCAGAGATCAGTGACTGTCAAAAGCTAACAAAGGGGTGGACACTTGGAAGGATCGCAGTGCTGCCAGGGAGACTTGCACTATTGTGAGCACTAGAAACACAGGTGACCGAGGTGACAAAACCCTGGACTCAAAGGACCTTAAGGGCTCAGGATGAGAGCTCAGCACTCTGCACTCCTAGAAAGGACCAGGGCAAAGCACTGCGATCTCTAAGCACTGGCCAGCCTGGTCGCGGACGGTCTCTGGACGTGTGACGTCCACCTTTCGATATCCTGCAGGTGGCTGAGCTGGTTCTGCAGCCACTGCATGGGATCTCGGAGCCCACGTTGCTGTCTTCTCATGGCTCCTGCTTTGGCCCGGAGGAGAAGAGCACAACGCTGTGTGTCTCGCACATTCTGCAGCGCCTGTTCCATGGCAGTGTCTGTGGGAGGGATGGGGTGTCTGTCAGCACCTTCCCCAGGCTGTGTTCTGCCACCCATCTGCCTGGCCCTATGGGTCACCATGAGTCTCGTTCTCTTGCTCTATCAGCTCCAGGCTCTGTTCCAGCTCTTGGATCTCTGTCCGTAGATGGGCCACACTGGCTTCCAGCTCTGACTTCTGACGAACCTGGTGGGATCCAGTCCAGGGTCAGATGCAAGGGTGTGTGATTGGAGCTTAGGCCCCTCATCTGCCAGGACTGGGGCGGCCCAAGGTTCTTTCAAAGCAGCCTTTGTGCTGGACTGAAGTAGTAAGATGCTATCCTGGCCTCCTTCCTCCTAGGTTGGCCTCACCCACCTGTGTCTTTCCAGTCTGCTTCCCGTTTCTGAACATGGACACCCACACGCCTGACTCAGACCCAGTCTCCTTCCTGAGACACCCATCTGGGAACCGCAGGTCCTCCCGAGGACCTCCCCCTGAGATATCATGGGCACCTCTTGCACCCCACTGGCCTCGGCATCTCTCCCATATCTGCTCCTTTTTCCCATCTACTCTCACCAGCTTGGATGCTACAAATCCATATCCTTCCTTTCCACCACCCCCAACTCTTGTGAGTGCAGGAGTCAGCCATGTCTCAGGACCTGGTGACCCCCAGCATTCTCCAGTACCAGGCTGGACATATAACACATGCTTCTCACCTCTGGGTCGTCCTGGTGGCCATACCTGAGGAAATGAAGCTGGAGTTAGAGTCTGACTGGGGGCAGGGCATGAGATATGAGGCTGTGGGTGGCAGTAGCGGGAGACGCGGCTGGGGAGGATGGGTGGGGGCAGTGTGGACAGCACTTACCAGAGGAGGTTTCCTTGGATCTTCTTGACACTTCTAGAGTGGGGAGGCAGAAAGAAGAGGAATGACTGGGGAGCTCCCCTTTCTCCTCCCTCCAGCACTCCCGCAGCCCAGCTCACCTCTGGCTGTGCACATGCCGCAAGACGTAGGCCCAGATGTCGGCCCCCTGGCCCAGACACAGCCTGTGGGGACAGTGGGGACAAGTGAGTCTGGGGTGTTACTCTCACGGGAGTCTTCCTGAAGGAGTTGTAGCTTTGCTGGGGGTGGGGGGGGGAGGGTTTGGGGGTTACATACTCCTTCCTGGGATGCTGTCTCTGAATGTGGGAGGGTGGGAAGAGAGGGGAGAGCGGATTGGCTCTGGTCTCTCCCATGAACAGATTAAACGCCCATTGAGTGGTCAGTGCCCTCGCTGGCTCCAGGGGTGTCGGGTGGTGCACAGAAGAAAGCCCATTGTCACAGGGGCCGGGGTCTTCCCCCAAGCCGCCTCGCAGAATAGGGGCAGGAGGGCAGGGTCGCCACCAGGGCATCCGCACAGCAATCTAGACCCGCTTCCTGAAAAAGGCGGGCAGCCCTTGGGAACTCTCGGTCTTTCTCTGCGGGCCATGGTTGAGCTCTCATTGAGGGCACGGGGTCTCTCAACTCCGGGAGACTCTCACCTACGCAGCGTCGACTCCGAGGGCCGGGCCGCCGCGGGAACCCCCATCTCCTCGGTCGCCCAGCGGCTCAGTGCCCGCACTTGCTGTGCCAGATCCATGACCAGCAGGGCTAGGAAACGGCCGTCGCCTCCCGCACTCTCTTCAAAGGTGGCGCCCGGTTCTGACGTCACGAGCGCGCCGAGGAGAAGCTGCCAGACTCGCGGATCCCGATTGCAGAGAATTGCTGCTCGGGTCTGGGCAACGGGGCAGCTAGCCAACCCCACTGTGTCCACGGCACGACTTCTTGTTAACTACTTCGTAAAGGTTCATGGAATCCATGACGCTGGGGACATCGTAGGGGGCTAACAGTGGAGTGAGGAGAGCAACGCCTTCTTTTGCAGGGCGGGGTGATAGAAAATAAGCAGGCGGGAGGTGAGGGGGTCAACTTGGGACGCAGGGAGTGTCCGAGGTGCAATCGTCGCCGTCCAGAAAGCGCGAGGTCAGCTGTTCTGGAGCACCCATTAGTTGAGGGCGGAGATACAGGGGTGGCTGTGGGGGCTGTGAGGCCGCACCCCAGTGGAGGAGAAAACCCAGCCTCAGCCAGCGTCCCCCCAAGAAGCCCCAGTACTTAGTGATCTTTGGTCACTAACCCGCCATGCTCCCTCCTAAACGGTTGTTGAATAAACAGAGGGAAAGAGGGGGATGTGGGTCGGAATGAGATGAGATAAAAACCGGGTACCCCCAAGGAGAAGGTTGGACGGACTGCGAAGTGGGGGCAACCAGGGTGTAGTGCCGGGTCCTGGGTATTGTGTGTGAACATGATAGGAAGAACGGTTTAAGAGGAGATGTGGCACCCTGCGAGGGAAGGGAGCCAGGGGCACCTCTGAGAGAAGACTCGGTCTTGAATGGTGATTACTACTGAGATGGTGGCTTTAGGGTGGATACAGCGTAGCCAGCTTCAAACGTTTCCCAAGGACCAGGATGCCGATTGCGGAGGACTGAAGTGGATCAGGTGGGTGTTCTGGAGGCAAGATACCAACTGTGACTCCTTGGTATCTCATTTCTCAGCTGCCATTCCCCCTAAACATCTCCAACTTTCTAACCTGTGTGTTTCAAGATTTATTTAATTAAAAGGCGTAGTGGCAGAGAAAGAGCCAGAAGGTGAGAGATTTTCCACCTGCTGATGAACTCCACAAATGTTTGCAGCAGCCTTGGCTGAACAAGATAGAAATCAGGAGTGTCTTGCTATCAAAAACAAAAAACAACAATCCCCCCCCCCCATCAGACAACATGTCTTCAATGGATGGTGAGCTTTCCTGGAGGACTCTGATATGTTTGAGACCTTTAGAACATATTGCCTGGGGGCTGATGTGTTGGCTCAATTGCTAATCCTTCACACTGACACCAGCATCCCATATGGGCACCAGTGTATGTTCTGGCTGTTCCACTTCCTATCCAGCTCCCTGCTTGTGGCCTGGGAAAGCAGTGCAGGATGGCCCAAAACCTTGGGACCCTGCACGCACGTGGGAAACCTGGAGGATGTTCCTGGCTTCTGGCTTGTAGACTGGATGACATTTGCAAAGAATAAGTAAAGGCTGAAATTGTGACAACAACAAATGTTGGCAGCGATGTGGAGTAGCAACAGTTCTCACTTGTGCTGGTAGAAATGTCAAACAGTACAGCCATACTGGGTGACCACTGGCAATTTCTTTTCTTTCTTTTTTTTTTTAAGATTTATTTATTTTTATTGGAAGGACAGTTTACAGAGAGAAGGAGGGACAAAGTGGTTGCAATGGCCAGAGTTGACCTAATCCGAAGGAATATGTATATATATATATATATATATATATATATATATATATATATATATAATACATGAATATGTATATATATGTATTTTTTTTTTGAGATATTTGTTGAGAGCTGGCACCATGGTAGATTAGGTTGGGCCTCCATCTGGATTGCCCATGTAAATCCTGGCTGTTGAACCTGGGAAGGCAGTGAAAGATGGTCCAAGTCCTTGGGCCCCTGTACCCACGTGGGAGACCCAGAAGAGGCTCCTGGCTTTGGGCTGGCCCAGCTCTAGCTCATGTCCTCTGTCTCTGTAACTCTGCATTTCTAATAAAAATAAATAAATCTTTACAAAAATATTTGTTTATTTGAAAGACAGATTTACAGAGAAAGAGAGTCAAAGAGAGAGAGATTAAGATCTTCCAACTGCTGGTTCACTCCCTAGATGGCTGAAATGTCCAGGCCTGGTCCAGGTTGACGGTGAAGCCAGAAGCTGCTTCTGGGTCTCTTGCATGGGATACAGAGGCCCAAGGACTTGGGACCATCCTCTGCTGCTTTCCTAGGCACATTAGCTGGGAGCTGGATAGGAAGTAGGTTATTTGGGACTTCAACTGTGCCCATGGGGAATACTGGCATTATAGGCGGTAACTTAATTGATCAGAGCTAGCCCTGTTAAATTTTTTTTGAAATCTGTTTTGAACCTACTGGTTCAAACAATATAAATTGTGTTTCATGTCTGATTTGGAAGTGTATTAATATATTTCATAGGTAGGTGGCAAAAGCTATTGTCATGTTTGACTCTCCCTTCATTTCCCAGACAAAACTTCTTTATGCGCTTCCTTTTTTAAGATTTATTTTATTATTATTTTTTGGAAAGTCAGGTTTACAGAGAGGAGGAGAGACAGAGAGGAAAATCTTCTGTTCAATGATTCACTCTCCAAGCAGCTGCAATGGAGCTGTGCTGATCTGAAGCCAGGAGCCAAGAGCCTCTTCCAGGTCTCCCATGTGAGTGCAGAGTCCCAAAGATTTGGGCCATCCTCAACTGCTTTCCTAGGACACAAGCAGGGAGCTGGATGGGAAGTGGAGCTGCCAGGATTAGAACCAGTGCCCATATGGGATCCTGGTGTGTGCAAAGTGAGCCACTAGGCTACCGTGCAGGGCCCTATGTGCTTCTTCTTTTTTTTTTTTTTAAAGATTTATTTATTTATTTACTGGAAAGTCAGATACACAAAGAGGAGGAGAGACAGAGAGGAAGAGCTTCCGTGTGATGATTCACTCCCCAAGTGAGTGCAATGGCTGATGCTATGCTGATCCGAAGCCAGGATCCAGGAACTTCTTCTGGGTATCCCACATGGGTGCAGGGTCCCAAAGCCTTGGGCCGTCCTCGATTGCTTTCCCAGGCCATAAACAAGGAGCTGGATGGGAAGTGGAGCTGCTAGGATTAGAACGGTGCCCATATGGGATCCCAGCACATTCAAGGTGAGGACTTTCGCCGTTAGGCCACGCTGCTGGGCCCACTATGTGCTTCTTTTAGAAAGATTTATTTGGAAGGCAGAGTTACAGGGAGAGTCACTTCCCAAATGGCCTCACTAACTGAGGCTGGGCCAGTCCAAAGCCAGGAGCTCTTCCAGGTTTCCCACGTGGGTGCAGGGGGCCCAAGGACTTGAACCATCTTCTGCTGCTTTGCCTTACACATTAGCAATGAGCTGGATCTGAAGTAGAGCAGCCAGGACTTGAATTGGTGCTCATATGGGATGCTGGTAGTACAGGTGATGGCACAGTGCTAGGCCCTCCCCTCCTCATATTTTTCTTTTTATAAGATTTACTTATTTTTATTGCAGAGGCAGATTTATAGAGAGAAGGAGAGACACAGATAGATCTTCCATCTGTTGGTTCACTTTTCAGATGGCCACAATGGCTGGAGCTGAGCTGATCTGAAAGTATGAGCTAGGAGCTTTTTCGTGGTTTTCCACGTGGGTCCAGGGTCCTAAGGACTTGGACCATCCTCTGCTGCTTTCTCAGGCTATAAGCAGGGAACTGGATGGGAAGTGGAGCTGCCAGGATGTGAACCGGTGCCTGTAAGGGTTGCTGGCACTGTAATGTGGATGATTAGCCTGTTGAGCCATGGCACTGCCCGCTTTTCCTCCACTTTTTTTTAAAAATTTATTTTTTGATGATAACATAGTTGATCAGGATGGGAAAGATCAAGCGTCAGGGAAAATGGGTGTAATTATTGTTTCCAAATTTTCTATTTCTTTTTCCTGTTTCTGGGGGAAGGGAAGAAATAAGGGGAGTAGCCATACCCAGCCTGCCAACCACCCCAGTAGCCGGGAATGGGGAATGGCTGCTCAATTCAACCCAGGGTCCAGATGTGGTGCATGCTCCTAGAGTTCTGCCCAGGTAGTTTTGGCAATTCTGAAATGCTGTCGATCTCGCTGATCCAAGGATGAGGAAACCCAGTGTCCATTGGCTGACACTGTCGACCTGAGAGTCTCCATTTACCCCTATTTTTGCTGTCATCTTTTGGCTAGGGTAGTTGTCCAGTTTGTTCTGCTCTCCTTCCTCTACTGTAGTGCCAGATGTCCTCTGCAGGCACCAACAGGCTGCCGCATTCTTTTTTTTTTATATTTATTTATTAAAAAAATCTATATATTTATTAATTACATTGCATTATGTGACACAGTTTCATAGGCTCTGGGAATCCCCCAGCCCCTCCCCGTACCCTCCCCCCAGTCAAGATTCTTTCATTGCAAGAGTATACCAAGCTTAGAGTCCAGCATCTTATTGTCCAGGTAAATTTAACAGTTTCTTGGGGAGATCATCTCTGGTCTGAAGGCAGAGCTGGCAGAATATCATCCCGATCAATTTAAAGCCACAACATAACATCAACAACAATTTACAACATTATGGAATTAATTGACATGGTATTGAGTAACAAATATGTTAAAAAAAAAAATTCAAGTTCTTAACCACAACCTGTGACTACTTCATTGACATTTCAATTTTAGTTTGTAAGGCTGCCACATTTTCATGTTCATCATGCCCTCCATCCACTGCTCTGTCTTTCCCATTGAAGAGGACCAGTTCCCGCAGGCTGGCCTAAGGACCCAGATCTGCGACCTAGGCCCTGTCAGACATCTGTTCCTGGGGCTAATCGACCTGGCACCTGTGGAACGCAGGTGGGCCTAAGGACCCAGGCCAAGCGACCTGGACCCCGCCAGACACCCCACCCTCAGGGCTCACTCACCCAGCACTGACTACACAGGTGGGCCCAAAATTCCCCCACTCTTAAGGGAGATGGTAGCCCAGGCCCACCCAAGCCCATTTGTTTTATCCAGGT